ATAACAAGTGTTATGAGAGAATATAGCGACGTGACACTGAAATACTTAGATGACGGTAAAGTGGGGAGCTGTATAAAATAGGCCAAGGATAAAGAGCATCAATATACTGCACATACAGATCCATGGAGATTCTTGGCAACCATTCAACAACGCCCCGATGTAGTAAATAACCAGCAGGGATAATATACGAAACGCATGGCACCGAAGTGCTCTGGATTAATGTGCCCACGGGCTGCTGGGCTGACCCCAAACTCCAAATATGTGTTCTGGAAGCACCACACGGTCAACACAGGAGCCCCAGTCACCCTGGGTTACCTTGAAGTGTATGTCCACAGGAGAGGCCAGAAATGCATGTTAGGGATAATTAGATGGAAATAATTATCCATGTTGCAGTGGACCCTGTATGCTATTTAATTATTTAAGATAAAATAAAAATCTGAGTTTTCACCCCGTTCAGGGGTTGAGCTCTGGTAGTTATATGACGAATACTATATCTTCCCATTGTTTGAATATTAACAAATGACTTTTTAGAGTACTTAGTGTTCTTTTCCACAAAGATACCTTTTATTTCATCCATGACTTGATACTAGAATTACTATACTATTGCGTTTCAGACCCCTAACTGTTACCAAAAAGAATAGGTGATTTGAACTCGTAAGAGTAAGAACTTGCGAGAAGGGGATTATAAGATGAAGAGGGAACTTAATTCGAAAGGTAAAGAAAATATTGAAACTGGAGAATATAATATAAATGAATGGAAATGAAAGACTGAAAGTACAAGAAGAGAAAGATAAGACAGGTATATACATTGTGGAACTAATGACACCGCATAGAAATTATTAAATATATACATCATGAAAGTTTAAGATAAAGAAAACATGCATAACTGAGAAGAGAGAATTGTATAAGTAAATCTAAAAATATACTTATAACAAAAAGAATTGGAAGAAGAATCATAATATAGCAAGAATGTCTGGAGGGTAAATTATAGTGCGAAGAAAAACTCGCCTTCATAAATGGGAAGGTGGGGATTGAAGCGTTAACCAAGACCCCAACGAATATATATAACAAGTGTTACAGGAGAATATAGCGACATGCATAATTGAACACCTAGACGACGCAAGTGGGGAGCCGGTAAAATAGCTAAAGACAAAAGAGCATCAATATACTCAAGACACCACATACAGATCCCATTGAGATTCTGCACCATTCAACAAATGGGCCCCGGATGTAGTAAAATCCACAGGGATAATATACTTAAACGATAAAACGGCACTTGGATTAATGCCCACGGCTTGCTAACAGACCAAACCCGCCATGTGTCTGGCTACCTCAATAATGAGGTTTCCAGTGTCACCCCAAGTTACCTCGGAAGGCAGTCACAGAGGTTAAAATACGCATGTTAGGATACTATGGAAATACTCATCCCATGTTAAAGAATCCTTTATATATATTACTATTTAAGAGTAAGAATGGAGAATTGAGCTAAATTAAGCCCATATTGGTTTGGTAGTTATATGATTAATACTATATCTTTCCCAATACTGAATATTAATAAATTTGTTTTAGAGTGTACTTCCCGAAAATTTTCTCAACAGTATTTTACCTTTATTTCATCCATGACTGATAACAGAATTACCATACCTACAGTGTTTGTGACCTCAATTACAAAGAATAGGTGACTTAAACTGAGTAAGAGTAAGAACCAAGAGAACTAAGCAAGATGAGGTGGTAGAGATGAGGAACCTCAAGGCCGAAAGTTAAGAAACATTGAAACTGGAGAATATAATATATATGAATGAAATGGTGCCACTGGAAAGTACAAGGAAGAGAAAGATATATACATTGTAACTAACTGATACCCAAGACAGAAATTATTAAATATATACATCTAAAGTTTAAGATAAAGAATGATGCATAACTGAGAAGAGAATTATCAGTATAAGAATCTAAAATAGCTGGCAACTGCAAGAATTAAAGAACAACAGAAAGAAATGGAGGGTAAATTATAAAAGGAGAAAACTCGGCCCGCGATAAATGGGGGGGAGGTAGAGCCAAAGGCACCAAGACCAACGAACAGGAAATAAGAAGAGAAGACGTGACAATTGAACAATTTTTAGACGACGGTAAAGTGGGGGAGCTGTATAAAATACAAGGATAAAGAGCATCAATATACTCAAGACACTACATACAGATCCCATTGAGATTCTGGTAAACTATTCAACAACGCCCCGGATGTAGTAAATAACCAGCAGGATAATATACGGAAATTATGGCACCGATGCGCTCTGATTAATGCACACGGCTTGTTGGGCCAGACCCAAACCCGCCATGGCCCGGCTACCCCTTACACAATAGTGGAGCCTCAGTGTTTACCCTGGTTACTCTTGGAAGTGTATGTCCACAGAGAGGGTTGTAACATGGCGTTAGGGACAACAGGATAAACACTATCCCATGTTGGGTGTGGGACCCCTGTATATGCTAGTTTAATTATTTAAGAGTAAGAATGTAGTAACTGAGTTTGCACTTCCAAGCCCAGGAGTTGAGCCTGGTGTTATATGATTAATACTATATCTTCCATTGATTGAATATTAATAAATTGTTTTTAGAGTACTTTAGGTGTATTCTTTTCTCCCACAGTATTTTACCTTTATTTCCATCCAAGTGACTTGATACCAGAATTACTGCCTACGCGTTTGAGACCCTCGACCATGCTACCAAAAGAATAGGTGACGAACTAAGAGAAGTAAGTAAGATGAGGGGTGGTGTAGAGATAAAGAGGAACCCGCTACCGAAAGGTGTAAGAACATTGAAAACTGAGAATATAATATATATGAATGAAAATGAAAGACTTGGAAAGTACAAGAAGAGAAAGATAAGACAGGCATATACATTTGTGGAACTAACGACAATCAAGATAGAAATTATTAAATATATACATCAAGAAAGTTTAAGATAAAGAACATGCATAACTGGAGAAGAGAATTACTTGTATAAGAATCTAAAAAATATACTTATAACTAAAGAATTGAAGAAGAATCATAACAGAAAAGAATGTCTGAGGGTAAATTATGAAAAGAGAAAAACCTCGCCCGGTTACAATGGGGGAGGTGGGAGCCAGCTGCTAAACAAGACCCCAAATCTAATATATATATAACAAGTGTTACAGTGAGCAATATAGCGACGTGACAATTGAACAATTTTTAGACGACGGTAAAGTGGGGGAGCTGTATAAAAGAAGCTGTAAGGATAAAGAGCATCAATATACCTAAGACACTACATACAGATCCCATTGAGATTCTTGCAACCATTCAACAACGGCCCCGGGATGTAGTAACAACCAGCAGGGATAATACATACTAAACGATGGCACCGATATGCCTGGATTAATGTGCCCACGGCCATGGCCAGACCCTAAACCCGGCCATGTGTCTGGCTACCCCACAATAACAACAGGTGGAGCCCCAGTGTTTCACTCCTGGGTTACTTCCTGAAGTAAAGTTCAGAGAGGGTTGTAACATGTATGTTAGGGATAATTAGATGGAAATAATTATCCCATGTTGGGTAGTGACCCCTGTATATGCTAGTTTAATTATTTAAGAGTAAGAATGTAGTAACCGAGTTTGCACTAAGCCCAGGAGTTGAGCCTGGTAGTTATATGATTAATACTATATATCTTCCCTCATTGATTGAATATTAATAAATTTGTTTTAGAGTACTTTAGGTATTCCTTTTCTCCCACAGTATTTTACCTTTATTTCCATCCAAGGACTTGATACCAGAATTACCATATTCTTATTGCGTTTGTGACCCTAATTATGCTACCAAAAGAATAGGTGACGGAACCCGGTAAGAGTAAGAACTAAGAGAAGCAGCAAGATGAGGGTGGTGTAGAGATGAAGAGGAACCAAGACCCTAAAAGGTAAAAGAACATTGAAACTGAGAATATAATATAAACAAATGAAATGAAAGACTTGGAAAGTACAAGAAGAGAAAAGATAAGACAGGTATATACATTGTGGAACTAATCTACACCGCATAGAAATGGTTAAATATATACATCAGAAAGTTTAAGATAAAAGAACATGCATAACTGAGAAGAGAGAATTACTTGTATAAGAATCTAAAAATATACTTATAACAAAAGAATTGAAGAATCATAACAGAAAAGAATGTCTGGAGGGTACCTGCTATGAAAGAGAAAACTCGGCTCCATTACAAATGGGGAGGTGGGAGCCAGCTGCTAACCAAGACCCCAACGAATATATAACAAGTAAGCTGAAGCAGAGAATATAGCTTATCGGATACCTTGAACAATTTTAGACGACGGGAAGTGGAGGAGCTGTATAAAAATAGCTGTAAGGATAAAGAGCATCAATATACTCAAGACAATTGCCACATACAGATCCCATTGAGATTCTTGCAACCATTCAACAACGCCCCGATGTAGTAAATAAATCAGCAGGATAATATACGTAAACGATGGCACCTTCCTCAATGTGCGGCCTTGATTAATGTGCCCACGGGCTTCAAGCGTAACAGACCTCAAACCCGCCTATGTGTCTGGCTACCCCACAATAACAACAGGTGGAGCCCCAGTGCTCTACCCTGCTACTCTGAAGTGTATGTCCACAGAGAGGGGTTGTAACATGTATGTTAGGATAGACTAGATGGAAATAATTATCCCATGTTGGGTAGTGGACCCCTGGGTATATGCTATAGTTTAATTATTTAAGAGTAAGAATGTAGTAACTGAGTTTGGCACTCAAGCCCAGGAGCTGGTTTGTGTTATATGATTAATACTATATCTTTCCCATTGATTGAATATTAATAAATTTGTTTTAGAGTACTTTTAGGTGGTCTTTTCCACAGTATTTTACCTTATTTCCATCCAAGTGA